AAGAACAAGAAGGTTGGGGCATGATAATTTGCTGAGCTTGCTCACAAGCCAAGGAAAATTTTACCAGTAAAGGTTTTGCTTTTTGATGAGGAAGTTCATTAGATTCTTGAGTGGCCTGGAAGAAAAAGGCTAGGGTTGAGGAAAAGGGCAGTCCATTGGATTGAGCATTGGTGGGTGTTAATGGATCTGGCAAATTAGAATGAGCACGAATATTAGTTATGCAAAAATGCTGAGTTCATTTTTGTATCAATATCGAAAGGGACAGAAATAATTGTGAAGTCACGCTAGTAGTATGGTAGAGCTTGCAGTTTCTAATAGAGGAACTGATTGAGTGCAATATGCATTGTCTGTTAAAATATTCAATGGTTGGGGGATCTCTAATAAAAGCTGGTTGATTACCACAAGTTCAGACAGTTGAACTATACAACCAGGGATGTACAATTTTTTTTTTTTGTGAAACATGTGGAATTTCCTTTTTTTTTTTTTAAGGTGTAGCCTTTTTTCTTTTTCTTTCTTTTTTTCCTTTTTCTTTTTCTTTTTCTTTTTTTTTTAAGATTTATTTATTTATTATGTATACAGCATATATGACTGCAGGCCAGAAGAGGGCACCAGATCTCATTCCAGATGGTTGTGAGCCACCATGTGGTTGCTGGGAATTGAACTCAGGACCTCTGGAAGAGCAGTCAGTGCTCTTAACCTCTGAGCCAACTCTACGGCCCGTGGAATTTCCATGTAACATGTATGCTCCATGTATTCTTAAAGAGCCATCTATAAAAGCATTAACAGCACTCTCTATAAGATTTTTAGGGGCTGGAGAGAGGGCCCAGAGGTTAAGAGCACTGGCATTTCTTCTAGAGGTCTTGAGTTCAATTCCCAGCAGCCACATGGTAGCTCACAACCATCCATAATGAGATCTGGTGCCCTCTTCTGGCCTGCAGGTGTATATGCAGACAGAACACTGTATACATAATAAATAAATAAATCTTTTTTTTTTTTTTAAAGATTTTTAGATGTAACTTTGGGTAATACCCATGGATTATCTTTAAAAATGTCTTAAAAGGGATCTTTTAGCTAATGATTAGCTTTAGATCCCAAATAACATGCTAATACAGCCTGTCAATTATTATCTGCATGAAACAAATAATCAACCTGCATTTTATTTCATGGTATAAGAATTTTTGCAGGCTCTTTACCCATAAGTTCTTTAAAACATATCCTTCTCATCATTATTAAGTCTATAATCTCTTATAAATAAGTAGCTGCAAATCACCATGGAGAATCAAGATAATCAAATTAATTTCTTTCCTGAAGTTTGTAATATTATGCACACAATGGGCTTTCGATATTCTTAGGTTCCAGGAGAGGCTTCAGTAACTGGAGAGGCTTTGATAATTATAAGTGCTGGCAGATTTAATAAGCCTATTCAAGATACTTGAAAGATTCATCCTTATAGTTCTGATGTTCTAGAACTACTTCTAGTATCAAAATCTGCATTAGCCTCAATTCTCTTGAGTAATAAAGCTTATAGAATGAATACACACAACAGAGAGAGAGAGAGACAGAGCCAGAGAGACAGAGAGAGAGACACAGAGAGACAGAGAGAGACAGAGACAGAGAGAGAAGGGGGCCAGTATTTGAATGACTAGGCAAAAGCACAACTAATTCAACAATGGCTGCCTGTGAGTGGAAAGTCCAAGAATCCAGAAGTTGCTCAGTCCACAATTGTCTGTGTCTCTTATGGTCTTCAGTAAATCCTTCAATCTGGAAGAAGCTACCAAGGTGAGGGAAAGCAGGTGAAGAGCAAAAGCTTCCTTCCTCCTTGTCCTTATATAGGCTTCCCACAGAAGGTGTGGCCCATAATAAGGTGTGTCTTCTGAGTTCAGGAAGCAGATTAAAGACTTATGTTTTCCTACCTCAAAGATTCAGATTAGGAGAGGATCTACATACTTCAAACCAAGCAAAAAAAAAAAAAAAAAAAAAAAACCTCACAGGGGAGCCCTCCATTTTTGTATTTTAGTTCATTCCAAATGTATTCACTTGAACCATCAATAATAGCCCTCACAGGGAGGGAAGACACAGGAACTGGGTCAGGATTCACTCAGTGGATACAATGTTGAACTTGGGGTCATGCTTTGAACAATAAGGGTGTTTTTCTCTGTGAGCATCTCCCAGCTCCTGGTCTTTTATAGCTTATTTACATAATACCCTCCATTTCTGTTTTCTCCTAGGCTTTTCTTATACATGCCATTTGTTGCATGGTGTCCAGGTGGAAAAGGTCTCCAGTCATTCTCTGGCAACTGGCATTTCTTGTTTTTTCTTTTTGTTTTTTTGTTTTTTTTCTCCTTTGTTGTTTGTTTTTGTTCTAAGATGGGTTCTGGTGTAACCCAGGGTGTATTCAGCTCTTCTTTGTAGCTGAGGATGACATCAAATTCCACAGCCTCCCACTGCTGCCTTCTGAGTGCTGGGATCATGCCTGGTTTATGCCATACTGAGAATGGAACCCATGGCCTTACACATCCTAGCCAAGCAGTCTACCAACTAAGCCTGCGCCCCAGCCCCTGGATTCTTTATATGTTAATATTGATGCCTCTCTCTGCATATCCCTCTGTTCCTCACTCAATGTTAATGTATCATACTTGGCCAGGAAGAGGATTATGAAAAAATTGTCATTGACATTCTAAGTTCTTTTTAGGAATACATAATTTCAAATACATAATAGAAAATATCTAGAAGTAGTCCTTGGGCTATTAGTCCATTTTTAAAATTTTTTTATTTTTATTTTTATGTTTTTGTTTTTTGAGACAAGGTTTCTCTGTGTAGCTTTGTACCTTTCCTGGAACTCACTCTGTAGCCCAGGCTGGCCTCAAACTCACAGAGATCCACCTGGCTCTGCCTCCCGAGTGCTGGGATTAAAAGCATGCGCCACCACCACCTGGCCCATTTTTTTTTAAAGGAGATCAAAACTTGGCATCAGGACTCCTGCCTGTAATCTTACTATGTAGAACAATAAGGCAAGACGATTCCATGAAGTACAGCCCAGTCAGTGGTACATTGCAATTCAGGCTTTTTAATTAATTAATTTATTTATTTATTTTTACTACAGTGTGATTACCTTCGTACAAATAAATGAACAAGTGGGTAAAATGAAGAGTCCAGCCTTTCTGAATGATGAGCTCAGAATTTGTATCATTCTGGTGCATTGGGGTAGGTGTGTCAAGACTATTGGCACTAACTGGAGTAAGAGCATTGTCATGACTGACACAGGGCTAGAAACTTGACAGTTTGACATTCATGTATGTATATGTATTTTTATTCTGGGTGGGCACATGTGTGCATACATGCAGCAGGTTGGGAAATGGCTCTGAATACAACAATGCACATGTGGAGTTCAGAGGAAAGCGTGCTTGAGTTGGTACTGTATTCAAGTGCCTTTAAGCAATAAATCTTCCTGGCACAGGTGTTAAGAATTCAAAATTCGTCTTTTCCTCCTGTGGAGCTGGGGCACTGTAGCCATCATGAATGACAGACACAGTAACGATCCGGACCAGGAAGTTCATGACTAACCACCTGCTTCAGAGGAAACAGATGGTTATTGATGTCCTCCACCCTGGGAAGGCAACAGTACCAAAGACTGAAATTCGGGAGAAGCTAGCCAAAATGTACAAAACCACACCAGATGTCATCTTTGTGTTCGCATTCAGGACTCTCTTCGGTGGCGGCAAAACAACTGGCTTCGGCATGATCTACGATTCTCTAGATTATGCTAAGAAGAAGGAGCCCAAACACAGACTTGCAAGACATGGCCTCTATGAGAAGAAGAAGACCTCCCGGAAACAGCGGAAGGAGCCCAAGAACAGAATGAAGAATGTCAGGCACACGGCAAAAGCCAACGCTGGTGCTGGCAAAAAGCCAAAGGAGTAGATCTGCGGTGATTTGATCTGCAGTGGTGTACAGACAATTTCGGAGAGAACAAATAAACTAAAAGCTTATGTGTCTGGAAAAAAAAAAGACTTCAAAATTCATGAGCAATGAGTTTGTGTGAAAAAAATATTAAGGTCAGCAATTCACAAATCATGGTATTTTTTTTTGCCTTATTAAAATATAATTCACACAAGTGAAAGTCCCCGTCTTAAACTGTTTTGTTCACCACTGACACTACTTTATATAGCCACCAGTGCTCTAATTCCAAAAGCATTGGATTCTGTGAGACTCTATCTTTTAAAACAAAAGTTTGGAGGTTGTGTTGACATACTCCTGTGACCCCACTAGAGTCAATGGAACGGGGTGGGGGTGGGGTGGGGAAAACAAGGAGCAGGTGAATGAGGTGGACTAAAGTCTCATTCAATAGCCAACTCTATTCGTATCCCCAGACAACTTAATCAGAGAGTTAAGAAAGGTCACATGAGTCAAGTCCTCATGAGTTCAAGATGTATACAATCAACAGGACAGTCCAGATACGGAAAACATGTTTTTCCATAGTGGCTTATACATTTAATTAAATAAGAGAAACAAGCACTAGTGACTAATCGAAAGTAAAAGCACTCCAGTCCTTATACAGGTTGGGAAAGTGTTCCTGTTTTGGAAAGCAATGTGCAGCTGAGAGAGGTGTGAGCAATCCTAGTCCTGCCTTATTGAAATTGCTAATACCTCGTGAATATAAATCAGGTGGTTTAAATTTGATCTGGGTGGTCTGGGGGACCTTTCAACTTTGAGGCAGGAGGATCACTCCACTGCACATTGAGTAATGATCTGTGTATGTGCTAGATCTGTATATGCCCAGAAGGAAGAAGGGGAAGTGCCCAGTATGAGCAAGAATACCCTGGGGACGACTTTGCAGTCCAGATGCAAGTTTTGCTGCAACGCCAATCTCGGCAGGTCTGGGATAGTTCTGTGCCTGGGCTGGGAACCACTGTGCTGTGTCTTTTGACTGCACTCTGTCCCAAAGGGAGCTGGTCCTGTCACTCAGGCCTCACTAGCAAATCAGCACCTATAGAGCCACCCTCCAGTCGGTGTGGGGAGGGCATTTCCGGCCCGCCATGCTGCAGGCTCGGGAGGTTCTTGTGATTCCGTGTGCTGAGCTGTCACCCACTACCGAGAGCTGTGGAGAACCGACAAGCTCGGAATCTACGCCATGGTGAGTGAGGGGCTGCTGCCTCCACGAGTGGAGGATCGGTGGGATCCCAGGTCTGTGGAAACCGGCGCCCCGTGAGGTCCCGTGAGTTCCGCGAGGTCCCTGCTGTCCCTACAACTCCCAGGTCCTGGTGCCTCTGAATAACTTCCATCTGAGGTCTGCAGCTGCATAGGGCATGATGGGGAGTGGGGCTCGGAGGAGGAAGGATGACTGTGGCTAGAAACATCCTTGTTGAAATCACCAGGAAATAGCACGCATGTGCTGTGTTTACTCTTTTCATGGAAGTGAATTTTGCTGAACTTGGAGAGCCCTGGTTTCTGCAGTGTGATGTAGAAGTTCTGCACTTGACACGGAACATTCAGGTGTAGGATCCGTCTGCAGTTAATTCTATGCAGGGAGTAAAATCTGTCATTAACACATTTGCATGTGGACATCAGGATGGTCTGGTCACGTGTTCCAGTAAGGCCAGACTTACTCGGTTTCCTGGCCTCATGTGTCAAAATTGACTCTATATCGTGTTTTTATTTCCAAATTTTCTATTAGATTTTGTCGCTCTCTTTATTCTTTCCCAGACAGTACAGTGTTTATCGCAGGTGTATGAGAAAATTTGAAGTCCGATGATGTCACTGTGTGTGCTATTTATTCAGTCTTGTGTTGATCTTTTTTTTTAATTCATGATGACCTTTTGTTATCAATTTTATGTTCTTTTTAGCATAAATCGTTAGACTTTGTGTTAGACTTTTATTGAATCTTTAACTCAAATTCTGTACTGGTAAGATATTGAGTCCACAATCCTGGAATTTCTCTCCTTTTATTGAGTTTCCTGATTCTTTTAATTACAAAAAGGCATTTGCCAGATCAATAGCTCCATACCATGAAACAGGAGAGGTGTTCATCTGCTCAAATAAGGACAGCACAAGTGGTACAGCAGCTGCTATCAAAATCACTACCTGGTTGATAGTCAGCTATCATTCTCCATGATCTATCTGTCTTCTGCACTGGTAGATAGGAGAGTTAAAGGAAATTGTGCTGGGAACCACACTCCTGCATCTTTTCCTTGATGTTGCCACTAATTTCTGCAATTCCTCCAGGGATGCAATACTGATTTTGATTCATTCATTTTCTTGTCAGAAGCAACTCTAAAGGCTTCCACTTAGCTTATGCAATCATAATAACCCTCCACAACAGGTCAGGGAACCAGTGTGAGAATTCTGCCAACTTCTAAGTGTGTCTATCCCAAGTATACATTTTAGGACTGGGGAAGTACCAACAGGATGAGTGTGGGGACCCACTAGTCCAGTGTTTCTCAGCCTTGCTAATGCTGTGACCCTCATGTTATAGTGACCCCATATCAGAAAATAATTTTTGTTGTGGCTTCAAAGTGTAATTTTGCTAATGTTATGCACCATAATGTAAATAGCTGATATCCAGGATGGTCTTAGGCGACCCCTGTGAAGTGGTCATCTGACCCCCAAAGGGTTGCAACTCACAGGTTGAGAACCACTGCATCAGACCTTCTATGAGTCAGACTTCAGCCAAAATGCCATTAATTACCTGACCATAAGCCTCTCCTGTAACTGGAGAGCAGCAATGTTTCTTGGGGTCTCCTAGAATCAACATTAATTCAATGGATCCCGGAAGGTCTGATTGTTTCCTTTGCCCCAGTGTAAAGTTGCCCTCTTGAAGGGTCATAGGTCCCTCTGCAAAAAATTGGAGTAGGCTAATAACAGTAAAATTTTAAGTATTTTTATCAAGGTCCTTCCTCAGGGAAGCTGGCCATCTCTTCATACAAAGGGTTTAGGGTCTCCAAACTGGCTCAAGCTGGAAGCTGATTCATGGGCCAAGATTCCATTTTGCCCCAATCAAATGTTGCCTTTCTTTCATTTGTTTGAGAATTTTACTGCCTATATAGATCAAACAAAAGCTCAGTAGGCTTCTTGTCTATTTCATGCCTGGAAACATCACGATCGATTAGCCAGCACCAAAGGTTATGTCACCATGAAAGGTTATGTCAAAAGTTATGTCACCATGAAATTTACTTTGCCTGTGCTGACCATTAGGGGCTAGACCATTATGGACATTACTTTGTCCTGCCCATTACAGTAATTATGATCACCTTGCCTTTGGAGATTCAGTGCTACCACCTGGGCCTTGCTACCTTGGGGCCCAGTTAAACCCATTGCATTTAACTCATGAGCTGAGCAATAACATCTACAACCTAAGCTCTGACACAAGAGAAAGGGTGACGACAAAACTCTTCAAATGTGCAGGTGCTCTGCTCAACAATTGGCATCTTAGAGGATCAGTGAAGGGCTTGTCTTCTGGGCTTTCCCATTGTGGAGGGTTAGGTTTCACACAGTACACCACTCTAGCATTGCAGTTTGCCTGAGCTCTACAATCCCTTCATCAGCACCAAGCCCCAGGATATCAGTAGTCTCTAAGTCCTTTTCAGTAGGCCATCTTTTGACAAATGTTTCAGCCAACCATTTAATCAAACTTTTGTCACCTTTTAAAGAAAACTGCACAAGCTTCCATATTAAACCTAGAATCTCCTCTCAGCCCATATTAATAAACTCTACCTGATAAGTTTTATGTCCCTTCCACCATTATCCAATACCTTTAAAGTCCATTTCCACACATATTCCCCAAACTTCTCCTTGAATGAATTAGTGAACTCATTAAACTCTTTAGTGGTATAATACATTTCCTTTTGGAATACTCCTTCTAACTCCCCTCTAGAAACCTGCTTTGCCTTAAGTCTGGTTAGACTTATAAGAGGCCTTGTACAATGACAGGAACCACCACCTCCTTCGAGCCCTATATCCCAAGGTCATGGGTGGAGCAAATACCACTACATTTTGCCGCTCAGAATTGGTAAATCAGGGTAATCAAATGTGTTTATCTCCTTAAGTTTGTAATATAGTTCACACCATGAGCTTTCAGTACTCTCTAGGCTCCAAGGAGAGGTTTCAGTAACTGGGGTGGCTTCAGTAATAGTAGATGTTGGCAAACTGAAAAGCTTATTCCAGATACTTAAACTAGTCATCCTTACACTTTTGTTGTTCTAGAACAGTGGTTCTCATCCGGTGGGTTATGACCACTTTTACATACTTCTGTCTCCAAATATATTTATTTTATAACAGTCAAAATTATAGTTATGAAGTAACAACAAAAGTAATTTTATAGATGGGTTGTCACTACAATGTGAAGTATTAAAGGGTTGCAGCATTATGATGGTTGAGAATTATCATTCTAGAACTAGTTCTAGTGCCAAAATATATATTAGTCAGAGCTCTCTAGAGGAACAGAATTTATGTAATGAATATATGTATGCTTATATATACCATATACATATATAATAATACTTAAATATATAATTCTTATATATATATATATGAATATATATATATTAGAAAGTCTTCTTACAGGCATACTTCCAGCTAACCCAACAATGGCTGTCTGTAGACAGAAAGTCTCCAAGAATACAATATTTGTTCAGTTCATAAAACTCTATATATCAGTTGGTTTTCAGTGTAGACTAGAGTGGTATAATACATTTCCTTTTGGAATACTCCTTCAGTGTAGACTAGAGTCCTGAAGAAGTAGGCTCTAATTCATGTGAAGAAATTGACTTGCTAGCAAGACAAACATAAGCAGGCAGATAGCAAAAACTTCCTTTATTTTTATATTAGCTTCCAGCAGAAGATGTTGCCCAAATTCAAAATTTGTCTTCCTACCTCAAAGATGAGTTCATCTACCTATTTCATATTAGGCAAAAAACCCTCACAGGTGTGCCCTCCATTTTTGGAATTTATTAATTCCAGATGTAGTCAAGTTGATAACCAAGAATAGCCGTCACAGGGAGGTAGGTCATGGGGGCCAGGACAGGATCTACTCAGCCTACTCAGTGTTGGACTCAGGGCCTCATGCTTTGCACAGGAAGCGTGGTTTTCCCTGTGAGCCTGCTTTTCCTCCAGCTCTGGTCCTTTATAGGTTATTTACATAATGCCTGTCATCTCCCATTTATCATGGGGATTTTTTTACATGTGTGGTTTGTTACATGGTGTAACATGTCCTGGTGGGGAAAGATGACCAGTCTTTCTCTTCCAACTGGTTTTTCTTCTTTGTTTGTTCTGAGACAGGTCTGAGGTAACCCAGGGTGGCCTCAAACTCAGGATAAACTCAAATTTCAAAGCCTCCCACTGCTGTTTCCTCTTGTTGGGATGGCAGGCATGCGCTGCCATACCTAGTTTATGTCATTCTGGGGATGGAACTGTTAATCCCATCTAAAGACAGGGAAGACCATTACCCAGGTTATTTGGTCTAATTAAGTAAGCTGTATTTTCTGTTAGGGCTATCTCCCCAAAGCTGGGTTTGAGAAAATAACATCAAACACAGGAGGAGGAGTTCAGAAAACTGCAAGACCAGGGGGTGGGGGGTTCAAGGGCTGGGGAATTTCCAGGGGCATTTGGTTACTTAGGAACTTGGCTGAACATTCCAAAATTATTTGATAGAACATTTTATCAGGATACAATCAAGGTGTCAGCCAAAGTCCATAGAGTGAGGAGCATGTCAAGTTCCAGAAACAGGTTAAAGCTTGGTCAACTGGAAAGTTGCTGCTAACACATTAACTTATGCTGACCATATAACAAAGGTACTTTCGTTCTTAAGATGGAGTCAGGCTGGTCTCTCAGAACTGAGGATGCTGTGCATCCTAGGCCAGCAGTCTACCGCAGAGCCTCAGCCCCCACCCATGGCTTATATTAAATGTTAGCCATGATGCCTGTCTCTGCACATCCATCTGTTGCTGAAACAATGTTAATGTACATCACTTGGCCGTCAAGGGGTTCATGCCAAAATTGATATTGACTACCTGGGGTCTTTTAGGAAATACTTAATGATAAAATCTAGAAGTGATGCTACCTCAGGCTATTAGTTTGTTTCAAGAGATGGAAACTGCACATTTTGGTTCAAGCCTGGAATCTTACCACTTAGAACACCGA